TAAAAAACCTGTAACACAATGGAAAAGTCAGCAATGACAGCAGAGCAACAAAGTCCCAGGCTACAGCAAATGAGGACTTGCTCAAAGGTGGCAGCTGCACGCACAGAAACAACAAAAAGAAGCTACTTACCCTCAGAAGGCCTCAGCTACACAGGGAACTCAAGAGAAATACTCTCACTTTCACAGCCAACCCTTAAATGAGGGCTGGAAGGGGAGGATCCTGGCTCCAGCCCTTCTATCACTCAGGTTCACTGCATGCACCTGAGCTTCCCTGGGCTGGCCCTGCCTTCACACCAGGTGCTCCATCTCTGCTTCAGCTTGTGACAGCACTTCCACTACACCCAGCAAAAAGTTCTCATTTGTTAAGACGCTAACCCAACTGATTGAAAAATTCAAATGCTGATGGGTTTGCTCAGTAGCACAAATTCCTATAACTAAGTTACAGGAATATAAATTTCTAAGCCAGGATGACTGCTTGCCTGTCCTTTCAAAATACCCAAGTATTTATCAAAGGAAGATGTGTTACTAACCCACCTGCACATATAGCAGCAATCAGGCCTTTTCTGCTTTCCTGATCTTTCAAGATGTCTTTAACAGCAGCAGACTGAACAAAGATAAAAAAAAAGTCATTGCTTTGAGTTGATTATTGGGTTGATCATACAAAGCACCATTTGAACCATTTTCTACTGCGTATTTATGAACAAGATTTACAAAAAAAAACAGCCTGACAACATTCCATCCCGTCTCAGGACAGGGAGAGTGATGTGGATTTAACCTGCTCCAATGTACATGAAATTAAATCTTCATTTGCAACCATTTCATCTTCATATGATGATGAAGACCGACCTTCTATTGAGCAGCCTTCCATTTTTACACAGCTTAACCAGGTAGTCAGGTACCAGAATTTACATCCCTCCTCTACATTTCTAAGAAAGCTTAATGCTATTAACAATTACTTACCTCTTAATGATTCACTCAGAATAGAATTTTCAGTTGTTTAACTGAACTTGCATTATTACTATGCGAGTGCAGACCATCTACTGCACACAGGAATGCTTCCGAATCTTTACGATACCAGGACTTTACCTCTGACAAGTTCTGAGCTCCAAGGTTACCTCCAGGCAGGACAATGACATCGTAAGGTCCCTAAACAAACAGATAAGCTTTGTTGAACAGAGGATAGTTATCTGTCACGTTGTTCTAGGGAAAGTACAGCTAAGTGAATTGAGAAGCAAAGGGATCCTTCACTGAGAAGCCTTTTCTTCCACTGAATGACACTTGAAAAGCAAATAATTGGAAATAATTATGTAAAAAATATTTCCAGGAACAGCCTATGAAGCCTATGAACACACTTCTAAGTCCAGTGACTTTAAGAGCTTCCACAAGCAAATGGTAGCTCTTCCATTGTGAAGACAAATGTTTCTGCTGTACAGCTTTCCATCAGAAGCTTTTTTTGCTGTGTCTGATCAGAGTATTTTGGTGGGCTGACCAACATGTGAAATAAAGCTCCATGTCTGACATTGTGCAAAACCAAATCTGATCTTGGCCTGCTGTGAAGTAGAAGACAGAAGGGACTGATGTGCCATAGTGACTTGCAGAACTGCACATAACAGAGTGAACATAACATGCAACACATTTCTAAAGGCTTTAAGAATTCACAGGAAGGACATACTGATCATTCTATCAATTCAAGATGATGACAAACCTCTTTTCTGGCATCTTCTAGACTGGCATCAGGACAAATGAGGACATCTCGACTACACTGCACCGGTTCTTTCCCAGTCAGGCCTGCAACAGTCACCTTGATCTAACAGAAGAATACATCTGTCATTACAGTTCAAGAGTTAAAGACATTTGACAAGCTTGTACTTCCTATAGAACCCAAAAAAGGAGAACATTAACAAAATCACAAGAGCATTGGGGAAAGGTAGTTTTTATTTTAGTCCTTTCTGTCAGTGTTCAGTTATTGTATTTATTTAAAATTTTATTTTCATACTTAATCAGAATACAATACTGTGTACAACTCCTAACGCAGAAGTAACAAAGAACATGAGGAATCCCACCAGGCACAGGTCAAGTTACTAACAGAATTTTAAAAGCTCAAGTAGAGCTGTGTAACACCGTAAGCTTGAAGAGAACAAAGCAATTCAGAACCCTACACAACAAATGAAAGCCCCTACTGCTCAGCAGGGCAGCAGACACGTTTGGTAGGGTAAGACTTACTTGAAACATCTGCTGTAGTTTACTTTAGGCTCACATTTTAAACGCTTCCTAAGGACAAATGTCATTCCTCCCTATTTGCTGTGCAACACAAGTACCAGCTAACTAGTAAGGCGGCTCAGGCGAACATTGACATCATGTATCAGAGTACACTCTGAACTTGAATTTGAGGCCCAGATTTTGATGATACCAAGCAATCATGAAAAAAACAGATTCTTCATTGTCTACGTACTCACCCCAGCTCTTCTCATAACATCGGTGGGGATGACAGTTTCCATTTCCTCTGCCCCTTTCGCCAGAATCACCAGTGCTCTTTTCGAAGCCATGTCTGAAGGGACTGCAACTGCAAGAGAAGTTTGTGAGCAGGGTGACATCAGAAGGCAGATCCCCTTGTGTAAAGTCTTCCTAACAGTAAAGTTTAAAAGTAATTTGCACTTCTGCACTATCTTTCAATTAAGCCATCTCAAAAACAGTTCACCAGCTTAAGTGACATTCACAGCAATCCTAAGAGCTTTTTTACAAAGCACACGCTGTGACACAACCAACACATCTGTGCAGTGGGAAGCACAGCACGTCAGCAGCAGAACATGAAACACTTCGGCCCCATCATGACCTGACGTAACTTCAGTCTGCCACAGAAGGGCTCAGGGTGGGTGGCTGGGCTGTCTGTAGTTTGCCCTCACTCATACCCAGACTACCAACTCCTACCCAGGTCAGCACTTATAAAAAGAGCTTCTGTGAGCTTTGACCTCACAGCTGGTATTTAGTTTCCACACTTCGTTAAGTTTCCTGTGACTTAATAATGACTCGACCGGTGCCCCTGCAAACCCTCAGCCATAGATTTTCTGAGTATTTCATAACTGAGTGGCGGAGAAACGTGTGCACACATGTGACGGGGGAGCAGACCACAGAATTTAGAAAATGGAACAAATGGAGCAAACTCAGCTTAAGAATTATTTTTTTAGCTACAAAGTTCACGCTGAGGTGAACGACCAAATTTCCATTTGAAGGTTAAGCAACAACATCACGTAAAAATCCACATTAACTTATGCTGGTCCGACAGAAGTCTTTGAATGCCTCCACAATGTGAGAGGAGGCATTTGGCAGGTCTGTCACTCTGAGGTAGATCTCTTCCTCCCATGCACAGATGCAGAGCACCCAGGAGCTCCTCATAAAATGAGATCCATGCCCAGTCGTCTCCACCAAAGAAAACCATCCCTCCCTCTGTCTCAGCTGCCGTATTTCCAGTTGGCATCTGTTAGAAAGCCGTTATTTCCAGGTTGCGTCCAGCAGGACGCCCTGCGGCATGCAGACCTGACCGACTCGGGGCGCAGCGAGCGCTCCCGTCACGACGTGAGCCGCGCGTGCGGCACGGCCTGCCGGCGTCCCAGAACAGCTTCTCTGGAAGGCGCACGTTTATTCTGCCCGCATTTTCTTACGGATCAGAACAGTCACAGCGCAGCTTCCCCACTCGTTCCGCGGCACGCAGCGCTCCCACAGGGCTGGCACGGCGCAGGGCCGGCGGCTCAGCCCGCCTTCGATGAAAGGTCACGTCTTTACGCGCTCATTTTAGGACGCGGCACTATTTCGGTTGGAAGCGGGCGACCTTTAAGGCCCCTTCCGACCGCGGCCGTTCTACGGACGGACGCAGCGAATCAGCGGACAAACCAACAGGCCACAGCGCGGACGGAGCGCAGCAGCACGGCGGCAAACCGAGAGCGGGCAGCGACGGGCCGGGCCTTCCCGCCGGGCCAGCGGCCGAATGGGGCCGAACCAGCGGCCTCAGGGCCCCCCCACCACTACCGGGCCCGGGACTCCCTCAGCGGCGTCTCGCGGCCTGGCACGGCCCCGCACGCACCGCACGGCCCCACGCGCGACTCCCGCCTCACCTCACACCGCCGCGGCTCCGCACGGCCCCGCCCCGCACGGCCCCGCCTCCGTCTGGGCGGGGCCGCCGGGAGGCCGCTGACGGCCGTGCCGCAGGGCGGGCTGCGTGCTGCTGGCGTTTACCCGCCGGGCCGATACCCGACCATTCTTTACTTAAATCTTTCCCGCGTGTTCTGGGGAAATGCTCCCATTCGTCTCTGTGGCACCGCGGCCAAACGGCGCTGCGCTTCGTGACGGGTGGCCTCGGCGCCATCGCTGCCGCCCCGTCCCCGCTGCTGAGGCGCGAGCCACCCGCCCCGCGCCCACCCCTCAGCCCGCGGCCGCACGCACCGTTCGCGCCCTCGCTGACGGACGGCACGTGACGCTGACGCAACCGGGGATTGGCTGTGGGAAGCCGCAGGGGGCGGGGCTTCGCATCCGTGTATCGTCCGACGGCTCCGACAAGTCACGTGTCTGTAGCGACGCCTCGCGCCCATTGCGGCGGTGCGCTTTGTCCCGCGCTGTCGCCCACAGCGCGGTTTGTTTCCACGCTCCGCGGGGGGGCGGCTCGCGATGTCTCCCCTCCACCCTCAGCGGCCGCTCGCAGCCGGTCACCCCGCACCACGCGGGACGGCACCGGGCCGGACTCCCGCACCCACCGCGGGGATTCCTCGACGCTCAGCGGGAAGCCCCGGCGGGGAGCGCTGGTCTCTGCCCGGCAGCGCCGAGGTGGCGGTCCGCGCGGGCGCTGCCCGGCAGGACGAGGGTCTCGCCGCAGTCCGGAAAGCCCCGCCGGGCCGGGGTTTCCCCGCCGCCCCCGGGTGACGCAGCCGTCCCGCTGGGGGCGGCTCTAAGGGCCGCTGCCCGCCGCCACACGCGCACTCGGGAGCGCTGCTCCGCCGCACACCGACCCCATGGGAGCGGCCGCCCCGCTGCTGCGCGCCGCGCTGCTGTTGGCGCTGAGCCCGGCGCACGCGGCCGCCGCTCCGTGCGCCGCCATCTGCCCCGCGGGTGAGCGCCGCGCCGGGCCGCGCTGCAAGCCCCGGCGGCGCTTCTCTACAGCCTTCGTGTCTCTCCTGCAGGTACCTTCGTGGCCGGCGAGGGCTGCGGGCGGGGAGCGAACTGCCAGCAGTGCCCGTCGGACACCTTCTCCAGCGCGGTGGGAGCCAGCAGCTGCAAACTGTGCCGCAAGTGCGAAGGTATCGGGGGTTAAGAGCTGCCGTTCGGCTCGTTGTTACCGCTCGTGGGGCGCTGCTGGACGGCGGGTGGGCTCAGCCGGAGGTGCCGTGCGCTGCACCCACGGCAACGCGGCCAGCAGCGCGGAGGAGGGATCCGCACCTCTGCTCTGCGCTACGGAGCCCCGCCTACAGCGCTGTGCCAGATGAGCGGCTCGCAGTACGGGGCGGACGCAGACCTGCAGGAGAGCATCCGCGGCAGGGCCAGAAAAGCTCCGAGGGATGGAGCAGCGCCTTGCGCGGACAGACTGAGAGCTGGGCTGTGCAGCCAGAGAAGAGAAGGCTGCGGGGAGAGCTGAGAGCGGCCCGTCTGCGTCTAAAGGGGCTGTAGGAAAGAAGGGGACAGTGCTTTTACCAGGGTCTGCTGTGACAAGATGAAGGGAACTAAAAGAGATTGGATGTAAAGAAGAAGTTTTTTAAAGTAAGGGTGGTGAAGCACAGGTTGGGCACAGGTGGTGATGCTCCATTCCTGGAAACAGCCAAGGCCAGGCTGGAGGAGCTCTCAGTCCCTGGTGGAGCTGTGGGTGTCTCTTGCATTGCAGTGTGTTGGACCAAGTGACCTTTAAGGGTCCCTTCTAATTCAAACTTCTTGGACCTCTCTCTGAGCTGGGCAGCTTAATTTCTGTAAGAGCAAACGACCTGGACCTTTGCTGCACCAGGTTGTGTGTGCTTGAGGCACGTGTAACATCATGCTCCTTTCCTCCTTCCAGGAAGATTCAAGTACTTAAAGGTGTGTTCACCAATAAGTGACGCTGAGTGCACGTGCAAGGAGGGATATCGCTGCAGTGACGATGGCTGCTCCCGCTGTGACAGAAGCTGTGGGCTGGGCAAGGAGAGAACTGGGAGCGGTACGATCTCCCTTCACCACCTCTTGTGCAGCGCAGAAAAAATTGCATGAAGGACCTCCTGAGCTCCTGAAACTGTGCCTCAATTGGTTCCCTTTGCGTGACAGCTCTTTTGTCAACACCGTGTAGGAAACTGTACCCAAGTATCGTGCTGGTACAAAGCTCACGTAGCTCACAGGGATGGGCACAGGGAAACACATGCCTTGTACTCCAGTATTTGATGGAACTTATGAGCAGGAGGGAGACCTACTTTTTGTGTGGTCCAATAACGAGAGGAATGGGGGGAACAATTCTAAACTAAAAGAGAGGAGATTTAGATTAGATATTAGGAGGAAATTCTGTACTCACAGGTTGGTGAGACCCTGGCACTGCTATCCAGAGAAGTGTGGGTGCCCCATCCCTGGAGGTGCCCAGTGAGAGGTGGATGGGGCCCTGGGCAGCCTGAGCTGGTGAGGGGCAGCCAGCCTACAGCTGGGATGGAGGGGCTGTAAGGAACCTTTCAACTCAACCATACTGTGATTCCATGATTGTGTACTCACAGCAACTTATAACAATTCTATGAACGTAGATAATACCGTACAGTCATGAGTAACATTTCATGTGTTCTTTTAAATACTCACCTTGTACTAACATACCTCTCCTTGTCTGTTGCAGGTTGCCAGACTTGCCCCTATGGAACTTTTAATGATCAGCCTGATGGCTCCTGTAAAAACTGGACAATGTAAGCAACAAAACTAAATGCTTTAACTTAACTGGATTTTTTTCCATTGCTTTTCTTTTTCTTTCTTTAAATGTTTTTCAGATGTTCTGAAAACCAGGTTCTGCAGCCTGGAACTGCAACAAAAGATGTGGTTTGCAAACACAGTCCAGATAATCCCACTTTAGCCACCACTTTACCCACCACTTCTCCTGCAGTTCCATTTCCTATCGCTGTGCCAGGTGAGTCATTGTACAGCGTTGCTTTTAGAGCTGAAGAATCAGGACTAACTGTGAAACGTGCTATTGCTCATTCACTTACCACTGGAAGTAGGATTCCTTTCTCATACCCATTTCCAGTACTGCAGACTAATCTAGAAGCAGACCTATTGAGATGGGGACAAGAAAGCTGGCTAATTTACATGCAGAAGAATTTTGTTCTGTTGTTTGCTTCTTCCTAGGGAGGGACCTCCAGATGGACATTATCAGAATTTCTCTCGCTGTAGCAGGGCTGTTGTGCATAGCATTTCTTCTGCCTTTGTGTGTATGCCTCAGCGTCTGGCAGAAAAAGAAGCTACACGCTGTCTTCAAGAAAAGTAAGTTAGATACACTCCGATTCCATTTTTGTTTTTCAATCTAGGCAGAAATCAGAAATTCATTTTTAAGTATCTTTTTAAAGCATGTTTAAAAAAACAGTTACAGATGATGATGTTTTTTTTTAATTTCCTCTGGAAGTCAGAAATAGTCATCTGGTTCAACCAACCCTGCTCACGCAGGGGAACACCCAGAGCAAGCAGGGAGATTCTGCAACCTCTCTGGGCAACCTGTGGCAGTGCTCCATCATCCTCACAGTGAAGAAATACTTCCTGATGTACAGACAGAGCCTTCTGTATTCCAGTTAATGCTCATTGCCTCTTCTTCTGGCACTGGGCACCACTGAAAAGAACACTCCTCTGTCTTCTTTGCACCCAAAGCTGGAGTCACAACTGCACTGTAGCAACAATCAGGACTTGCTGCTGCAGAGTTGCAGAGCCAGCTTGAAACCAGTACTGCCCTGGGGACACAAAAGTTCTGCACAAAGCTGTGGTGAATTGCATCTAACTTATTTTATCAGCTCTGGTATGGCTCTACCTGCAGATACTTTTGTGTTTACAGTGAACTGCAGTACCCACATTACCTATATTTTCCTATTATTTGAAGAACACTAATCTGTATTACCCTGGATATTGACTGTAATCATAGGTTAAGCTACAAGAAGAAAACATACTGCGTTTCCTGAGTTCCAAAGTAAGACTTTCTTCTCAGTCCTTTGCAGCCAGCGTTGGTTGGTAAAGACAAAAGATTTAATAAACACATCTTAAATGAACAAAGGAAATTATAAAGGAGGCTCTGCTGCCTCCAGGAAATAGGACTCTGAAAGCTGCTGTTGAAGCTGACCATGTGTGTAAATTTCTGACTGTTGTAATGTTACAGTTGAATGTTTTTTGTGTCCTCTGTATAGCTCCAATGTGTGAATGCTGAGCCTTCATTGCCTCCTCTCAGCTCCCTCTCAGTATTTCTGTCACCACTTCTGACAAGTAACATGATTTCTGTACTTGGCATTCGAACGTACTTGGGTGTAGGTTCCTTATAAAATCTCGATCAGATAAGTATGTTTTTCATCTTGAACTCAAAGAAACGCACCAGAAGTTTAGACATAATGTGCTTTGCTATCTAAGCCAAGTTTAAGTAAGTATTAATTGGCTCTGGGTAATTTTTCATTTACTTTTAATAAGTATTCCTTGTCTTGGATAATGTTTTAATACACACACAGGATTCTAAAAGGACGTAAAGGAACTCTATAAGGTTGCAAGAGCTCCTTAGATCTTTTCCCAAAGGGAGAGCATACAATGTTCACAATTGCCAAAAGTCTACCTTTGAAGTTTGGCGCAGTTCAGTGCTTTTTAGCCTTGTAAGACAACATTCTGTTTAGATGGCATTTAGACCTTCCCTGCAGACTAGAACTGAGCAATTAGAGCAATGAAAATATGAAAGCTCAGCAAACAACACCTCTTCTCAATTTCACTGCTTCCTAGCTTTCTGCTGTATCCCTCGTTACATTGGTTGGAATATACTGTGGCAAACACAGCACTAGCAGCCCTGTCAGATTAGGGGAAACTGTGAGAAATTTTCTCTTGGCAAACCACGATGCAGAGGAATAATTCCAAAGTAGATTATTGGATCAACTGGAAGATTTTTTCTTGCTGCCTTCCTCCAGTTGTGACTGAGGAAGGGTGAAACAGGGTGGCTGAATAAAAGCAATAGGAAGTGAACAACTGCTCTCTTTCTTCAGTGCAGACTACACCTGAGCAGTCAGTCCAGGAAGAGACCTGCAGCTGCCGCTTCCCTGAGGAGGAACAAGGCGAAGATCAAGATTGTGGCAAATCCACAGAATTCAGAGACCTCTTGGAGAACTAAGAATTGGACTGTCCAGGTCACCCCTATTTGTTTCCTCTTAGAACACAACCTTTCAATTTGTGAATTTCAGAGTGCTAAGTAGTCCATTTAAGGAGAAAGCACATCTTTTCTAGCTTGTTGATTGTTATCTGGGACTGGGAATCATATTTCTAACCAGTAGTAGTACTGCTGTGCTTAAAACCAAGGCCAGCATGACATTCTGGCTCCTCTTATAAATGCTGCCTGAGCCATAACTTACACGAAGCCTGAAAGCATTTATCCCTAAAATGGAGATTTGTAGCGTGTAGGAGAGCTGTGTGTGCCACTCATGGTCTCTGCATTACTGTTGCCAGCTCTCCTCCTGAGTCTGGAGCTGCAGCTCCTCTCAAAGCATAGCTCAAACCCAGCGGTGTTGGGTTTCTTCTGCAAACACAGATCTCATCTCAGACTTTCAGTTGCCAGCAGCCATGGAAACAGATCTGGCCTGACCACCACACAGCCTCTTATGTCAGAGACAGGAAAATGTAAAAAAAAAAAAAAAAAAAAAAAAAAAAAAGTAGAGCTGCAAAGTTTTTTTATAACAGCTTGTATCTGCTGTCATAGTGCAGAGATTGCCTTAATAGAGGCAGTGGAAACACTGAGAAAAGCTGTGGTTGACTTGCTCTTAGGAAGGGATGTTTCTGCGCACTTAGACTGCAACACCTCAGTCCTACATCATTCAGCTTTCATCTTTTGGGTGATGTAAATGTGTTGCAGATGAGGTACATGTAGAACGTGATACATTTCTGGTACTATTTCTGTTCCTCTAAGGGTGGAAAGATTTTAACCTCAGACAGTATATCTGCCTTTCTGATCAAGTGCTGTTATTTTGGTCTAAAAGAGAAAAGAAAATGCTGGCAGTGACAGCATTTTTAACCTTTTTCAGAACCAAATATTTTATTTCTTCAGTAAACGTTATTCAAAAATCGAATTTAAACCTATCAACATGTAGGTAAAGGGTGATTTTCTTCTTTATGTAATTTCAGTTTTGAAAAAAGAATACAGTTGTCTGAAGAATGACTGCTTATGTGTCTATTAGCACAAAATTAAGATTTTTTTACATAGTAATTTTAATAAACCTACTGTTTTGTAACTTTCTTGTAACTTCTTCTGTATATTAGACAGTAAATATAGAAACCTGAATTCCAAAGTTAAGTATATGTAAATAAATAATTTGTTTCGAAGCCCTGGAGTCCAAGTCTCCTTTCCTTGAGTCTTCTTTTCTTATAAATAAAGTCAAATTCACAAACTGAAGGAGAGGGGAAGGAATAGGAAACCTCACCAATAGTTATAGACATCTTAGAATAGGATAAAATAGTTCTGCCTGTGATTAGTTTATAATTCACACATTAAGGATGAGAATTAATGTACACACGTTGTAACAAATCAACGTACCTTATGTTTCCTCCTAGGAAAGAAAGGCAGCAGTTAGACTTTCGTATTTTGCCACTGCATTTTGCACGTCAATTTGCAAATTTCATTGCATCCTCTAAAAGCAGTTTTGTTCACTTAAAGGTCTCAGCGAAGATAATACTTTATTCAGCAATTAAGAATGACTGGTATGAAGTGCCTTGGGCTGAACATGACAGTTGATTCTGATTAGAGCAGTCCACCTTTCTGGACCATTCAGGTCCATATCTGAAGTATTATCGCGAGACATTTCTGCCTCTGGAACCATTGCAGGAATAAGTTCAAAAAATTCACATTCTCTTCTCCTATACAGAAGAATTCCAGAGCCAAACAGCAACATAAACAAGACAGTTACTGCTTACCCAACAGCCTTAATCTGAAACTTAATTCCCATTTAGTCACATCCTATAACTTATAAGTCTCCTGACTGGCAAAAACATTACCACTCAAAACTTGGCTCTTTAGAATCATCTCTGCAGTCACAGTACTTCTTACTGCTCTAAACAACTCCAGTTTGTTCCTCTCTTTTTGATGCTCACGTGCACCTTGGCTGCACATGTAGCTTCTTCAAAATATCTGAATAAATTTATCAGCTGAAAGAAGCGCAGACAGTCCTAACACTGAGCTGTAACTCAGAGAGTTTCTGTTTCGTTGCCTGTGACTGTTTCTTTTCTCAAGTCTTTTTAATTTATTGTGTAGTGAACAAAAAGAAATTGGGAATTCCATGATGATTCTTGAGCAGCCCCATTTGGCTGAAGATGAGGTAAGGTGCCATGCCAGATGTAAGCATTTCACATTTCCATTTGTTTTTCTTGGAAGTCAGGAAGGGCTCTTCTAGCCAGACTGTGTGTGGAGGCCCTGGTGATGTCAGACCAGAAGTTTAAAGGCATGGAAAAAGGAGACAGGTGCTCTTGAAAGATAAGTTTAAGCATGGAATTGTGCTGCTTTTTTATTGCTTGCAGAACCAGTACCATTTCCTGGCACAGTTCCTGGCATCACTACTTAACACTCTGGTTGTCAGATATCTTGACCTCATAGTCCCCTGCAAGAGTTGTGTGGCTAAGCGAAGCAAAAGGATTGCCGTCCCTCACGCCCTCCATTCCACAGACAGGTCAACAACACCAGGACACACCAGTGTGTTTCCATGCCTGATACATCTGGGGAGAGACTCTGAATTGTAACAGGTGCTCTTAACCACACAAACATATATCACTTCAAAATGCATGTTATGAGTTCCTAATTTCAGCCCTTTATCAGGTCTTTTATGCCTCGCCCTAGCAACAAGCATCTCTTGCTCACCATAAGGACCACCTCCTTCCACTTCAATTTACCATCCTTCAATTGCATGTCTACTTCCAATGGGAAAAACAAGACCTACTGTTCAGTGAGTACAGACACTGTATAAAATCTCCCAGAAAATCCCTTCATGTCTGACATGGTGTCACGCTCAGGATTCCAAACGGAATCAATGCTATTTGAATCATACAAGACACAGGATGCTCTCTTGTATAGTGCATTCCCCAAATAAAGTTCTTCAGTACTCTGCTAAAAATGAAGTCATCTTTGACTAATTGCATAGCATTCTCCATAAGAAATGATCCACTCTGAGATCTAACTCAGAGAAATGATTATTAAACAATTAACTTGTAGCCCACCCCTTGCAGTTTAAGCAAGTCACAAGAAGTGGAGATAATTTTCACTTAAATACACAAAGTCTTATTCTGTCAATAAGCATTACCTCCTATTTTCTCTCTCAGAAGCATCCCCGATACAGATGCCTTCTGCAGAACCTGTCACAGAAGCGCTCTGTCCCTCAGGATATTTGTGCAGATGCTTTTGTTTTGTTAGCTGTGTATCACAGACAGATGCTGAAGCATCCTTCTGTCCCTGGAACTGGCATGGACAAGGCTGCTGGATGCCCTCACTGTAAATAAGAGCTTCTAACAGTCGACAGATGAAATGGAAATTCCTTCTAACCTCAACGTGGCAAGAGTTAGTTATGATATCACCTACTATGTTTCCATTCACCTTCTATCTCCGGGATGCCTGCCAGTTAAAGCAACAGATCTACCTGCAATACTACAGAAAACCATTTTATTGTAGTGGAAAGGAAAACCGCCTCAAAATCCATTGAAACCAATGCAAGTATCTCCTGTTTGCATTAAGAAAATAAATCAGTTATTATTCGATGAACCAAGTGCAAAACCCCACACAAAAACACCTACATCAATTTAAAGATTATTTAGTGTGACTTCAGCCTGTTAAAGCTTCTCTTGGTTTACATAATCTGAACTGAAACAATCCCTTTCAAAACTGTAATGGAATCTCTGATCATTTAAGTCAGTCTGAAACCAAACCTTAGGTTATGTTGCCAGCTCTGCTCCTGCACACGTTTCAGCAGGCTTAGAACAAAGCTACTGCAGAAGGTGAACAGAGGTGAAAGAGACTGCATTTATCTACAGCATGTATCTTAAATTCCTTCTCATATTTACAACACCGAAGTTTTGGTTGATCTATTTAGAACTATAAACCATTCAATCTGAAAGAGAATGCTACACTGGCCTGTAAACAGACAAAAGCAGCACTGCACTACTGTTACTCAGTATGGAGAATTTGTAGACATCTTAAAACAACTTTGAAAGAGTAGAACAGAATCCTATAAGAATTATACATCAGTGTCTAAACCAGAGCTTAATTAAACATCTGAAGTAGAATATTTCTCCTCAAACTAGAATGGAAAATAGAGTTAAAAAGTACATGAAAGTAATGATGGGGAAAAACTATTTTACTCCAAAAGAGATGCAGCATTGCAGTTCAGCACCACAGATGTCTCATCAAGCTGGAATTGCATCAGAAAGTCGAAGATTGATTTATTTATTATGATTCACACTGGTACTGTTATAGCCAGTCATAACAATGGATCTTTGCCACCATACACTTCAATAAATACATTACCTTGTACCAGTACAGGTGTAAGTGACCACAGAAAGTGCTTGACGGTTCACTCAAAACACAGATTTCAGTTTTAGTAAGTAGAAAAGAAGCCAATCTCTTCCTCAGGCAGGGAATTTAAGGATTTAGAAATCCAAGCAGGCACTGCACCCAAGAAGCCCTCAGACACAGAAATAACCTCCTGTCATTACAGCTCAAGAACTTCCTGCACTCACCAGCAGCACAGCCTACGACCACTGCTCGTGTGGATGAGGCTGGAACATACAGCACATTAATTATGCCTCAGAATCCAGGGGCAGGTAAGGGATCGCTGTGCTGCGGCAGCACAAATCATACTGCCCTACATCATTCCTGCTACAAGTGTTATCTGTTATTTGAAAAACTGGAATCCATCTCTCAGACAGCAAAGAGAAGCTCCTGCGTGGCTGACTGCCAAGGAAAGGGCATTCATTTGCACAGTAACCTTGAAAGAACTGCTTTAAACCTCAAGTTGCTCGGTAAGACCTATGCCAACTTTCCCCTTGTTAAATACACACATTTGTCCTGAGATGTGAATCACTGAGTCTGCAAAGATTCCATTTAATTAACAAAAAAAATTAAGGATTAAAGGGATTATGCAATTGGAAAGAAAACAACAACAACAAAAAAGAAATGGTATGAGACATTCATTTACTGCCTACGCTAAGTAGGACAGAAAAATGCCAACAATTAGGAGACCTCCTTCATCAGTCAGTAGCTCTTGGCCAAGCACTGATCTGCTGCCTGAAATTTGTCCTCTAATCTCAGTTGCAGGAGAAATAAAAGCTATAGTATTCTGCAAAAAAAGTTTGACCAGGGAGTTTGATTCTGCGCCTCTAAAAACAACATTGCTGTGTACAGCAAATAACCTGAAAAGAAAAATAAAGCAGGACGGCTCTGATGGAATTGCTGTTGTCCTGTCCCCTCAGCAGGTTCCAGCCCCCACCTGCCTGCTGCTTAGATAACGGATCAACGCCATCTCCAAAGACTCCCAAACGTTAATTCCACACCCCGCTGTTGTCCGACAGACTCAACCTCGGGGGCTCCACGCCTCTTCAGAAGGTTTCTCAGCGCCATCTCCTGGGGCAGCAATTTCATTATCACTGCTTTTTTATCCAGTAAGGG